GAGAAGTGTAATATTTAGGAAGAAAGAGGTGATAACACTGTACAATGACATGTTCAGACCACATCTGAAGTATTGTGTTCATTTCTAGTCACTTTATAGGAAGCGTGGAGGATAGACAGAATTGATGAAAGGTCTCAAGACCATATCATTATAAGTTCATTTGAATGAAATGAGTTCTGCATATGTCCCTTTCCACATCCTTAGCCGTTGAACTATACTTCATGACTAGAAGGAAAAAAACAGCACCAAGCTAGACAGTATATAAATGTTTCCCCATCCACCCTGGCCCCCTCTTAATCTTTTCAAAGAATGGAGAGAGGAATACATTTTCTCAACCTTTCTTGGGGGAAGAGCTCAGTCATTATAATTAAACAGTGTTTGTTTTCATTTGGTGTGGGAGAACTGAGTGCCTAAAGAAAAGAAAACTGGGAGGGAGGGGGGCGGGTAGGGAAGGACATGAAATTTTCTGTTTGTCATGAGGAAGAGTGATTAGACTTTGGCTCCAAGAACACAAATTTAATTGTAAAGATTTGGGAAAGTCATAAAGTAGATGTTTGTTCAGGTATGGTATTGCTGTGATGTTTTCTGAGGTCCATTCCAACTCCATGATTCTGTGATTTAAGACTGCTTTGTCTGTGACTTAGTACAGAGCTGTGTATATAGTAGGTGCTTAATAAATAATTTTTGAACTGAATTTTCATAATGGGTTTATCTTTTTTTGGCCATTCTTAACTCTAAATGTAGGTGTCATGATTGTTTTGTTTTTTTAATCTCTTTGAAGTTTTTTCCACAAGTCTCTGCCCATTCTGGACTTTTACCTGTTTTTACACTATTTTTTAATATACATCTATTTAAGGGCCCTTTCATCTATTGCTTGTATGCATTCCTTTTAAATCTTAGTTCATGGAGAGCCTCCTGTTCAATTACTTTGTTTTCTTTACATACATTCTCCTCTTCCCTTTTTTTTGAATTGAAATTATTTGTGATTCTGTTGTCTGTCAGGATTTCAGTTTAGAGAGCCTCCTGTTTCCCTGTTGAATTGCAGAATCTTTGACCTTGTGCGTATACCTAGCTTTTCCTTGAACTTAAAAAAAAAATCTACCTTTCTAATATATAACCATAAAAAAAACATGCTGAGTTTATTATGGTTTTTTTTTTAAATAGCAAGTGATATGTAATAGTCATGGTTTCTGATATCCTATTCTTCTTTGTATATGGAAATTTTTTCTTTTGGGGGGAGGGTGTTAAATCTAGATTTTTTTTAAGGGAGTTTAAGTGATTTGCCTAGGGTCACACAGCTAGTGTCAAGTGTTTGGTCTGAGGCCAGATGGAACTCAGGTCGTCCTGACTTCAGGGCCAGTGCTCTATGCACTGCGCCACCTAGCTGCCACTATAAATCTAGATTTTTAATGACAAATAAAATCTACCTTTCTAAAGTCTGTGGTACATATCTGATACAATCCAGTGGCTGTTTCCTAGGCTATTAGGAACTCCAAAGGTAGCATGGGCTCTTTTTGTTACAGTTCTTTCCCCTTAGACCATTTATTTGGTAGTTTCTTTTTAGTCAAAAATGGAAGCAAAACAAATCAAGAATTTATCCTTTTTTCTCTTAACAGAATGGTTTATCTAGCATATGGTCAGGTATTTGAAGGTTCCCTTTTACCATTCTGCCTGTTTTGTGTCCTAAGTTGGTTACCTATGTTTTGGGTTTTTTTGTTTTTTTGGCTAGGCAGTGGGGTTAAGTGACTTGCCCAGGTCACACAGCTAGGAAGTGTCAAGTGTCTGGTCAGAACAGATTTGAACTTGGGTCCTCCTGACTCCAGGGCCAGTGCTCTATCCACTGTGCCACCTAGCTGCCCAAGTGACCTATATTCTTAATTTGACTGTGTGATCTATAGTATATACCACAAATATCCTTGTGTTTCTCACCTTATTCTCTCCTAAATGCTTTCCACCATATCTTGGTCCTTATATTTTTTTGGGTTTGGGTTTGGCTTTCAATGTAGGTTTATATGTTCTTGACTTAGGGTGTTGCCCATTTGTCAAATTTTTCTTTTTGAACAGAGAGACCTTTGTACCTTGTGCCTATTAAAGGCAGAAGGAAAGAAGCCGTGGGAGTGATTGAAGATGCTAGAGAGATCAGTGTGCATGCAAGCCAACTTTCTTAAGAATTGCAAAGGGATGGAATCTAGGGTACAAGTAGAATGATTAACCTTAGGGGAGAGGGTTCCTTGTGGACTGGAGGAAAGGATTAGAGAGGGTGGTTAGGGTACCTGTGCTAGATGGGAGATGAGATCAACTAATGAAAGCGAAAGTGATAATTTGGGCAACTTTGGGGAAATTGCCTGATTATCTACCAAGCAAATGCTTTGTATCCCGGTATCATGTTTCACCTTTAGTGAAATTAGCCTAAAACCTTTTAAACTTATATGTCTCCTTGTAAATTGTCCCAACTTTGTTAGTTGTTTGTAACAGCAAGTGGTATGATGTCTGTGCTTAAAGCCCACTGCCATAGATATATACAATAAATTGTCATTAACTAAATTGCTTAGGGATTTGGATGTTCTAGTTAACTGAGTTTTCTGGAAAATTCACATTCTGACCTTTGAAAATCTTTCTAAAATCTGTCACTTTCCTGACATAGTAATTTTCATATCATCATATATGTAGGTGGAGAAGGTAGCATGGCATAATGTTTAAAGAGCTGGGTTCAAGTGCAGCCTCTGACACATACTAGCTATTTGACACTGAGCAAGTCACTTAAACTCTTACTGCTCTCTCTAGGCAGCTACATAAATGTAGGCAACTGTAAGATGCAGAACAGTTTCCTATCTGTATTGTGTTGGCAAGGGGAGTTTTCTCACCATGAATTTCCTAAATTAAAGAAGTCACAATTCTGTACCTCAAAAAGGATGTTAATTTTTTCCCTCTTAGTTGCTTAACCCTTAGTTGCTCTTTTCCCTTGTCTTAGTAGAACAGTGGAGGAGGGATCTGGATATTTTTAAAGGTTCCATTTAATCTCTGTTTTAAACTCTTGATAGAAAGCTTTCCAACATGTGTTGTATATTTCCCTGCCTCTTTAAACAAAGGATACTGAATTTTTGTGATGCAGAGATGTTCTTGGGTTTTTGAGGGGTTCAGAACACAGACAGCTTTGCCCTCCTCAATTTCTTTTTATATTTGATCAGTGATGACATCTTGCTGCTGTGGTTTAGGCTCTAGCTAAACCATTTCTTCTTATGTTTAATACCCTCTTCTTATTTTTATCTTCTAGTCTTTTGTGAGCTGGGGAACCAGATAGTCGATTATTACATTTGTGTGTAAGATAAGGAAACTGTAAAGAAAAGTAATTGACATTATAGTCTTTTTTTTGATCCTTAACAACAATCCCTGTGATAGGGCAGGTGTTATTTGTGGTATAGATTAGGAAACTGAGGTTAAAGTGAGGTTAAGGGACTGTTAAAGATCATACAACTAGCTGGGGAATGATAGGAGCCAGCACTCATGGCCTAGGTCCAGGTAAGTAGGGGTGTACAGTATAAGATAATACATGTGTGGGGTGAGTCATTATGTGCAAGCAATACATAATTTAAAATTCAGTAAAAGTTGACTTGTTAACATTGTAGTAATTGGAAATTTATTTTAACTAGCTCAGTCATGTATTTGTAATTTATTGATATTTATATTCCTTATAATGATTCAGACAGTACTGGATTCTGAAAAGCCTTCTCAAAGATGCAGTCAGGTTTTTTATGGTTTTTGAGTGGTGGTGTTAAGTGTATTTTGTTAATTCCAGTTCTTTTGAAAATTCATCATTGATGTTTGGCATGCATCATATACGTCAGATGTGTCTATAAATGAGCTGTTTTCATGTGTATAATGTAGAAACGTGAGTTTCTTACTTCATAGTCTCACCATATAGATGTCCATCAAGATATTTGATTAACTGGCAGCTCATTCTGCATCCATGCTATATTAGAGAATTTATTTTATATGATAAAGAATATTGATGCTTATATTTAATACTTTATTTTCCTTTTTGTGACTTAATATTAACCAGTGTGTGTCTGTTACCAAATAAATACCTGTATAACCTGGGTATTTTTAGATGCATGTGTGCTGATTCAGTCAGAGAGCTGCACTTAAGGACCTAGAAGGCCACATATGGCCTCAAGGCTGCAGGTTCCCCACCCCTGAACCCATGGCTTTTTGGCTTCCAGGCTGGTTCTTATACCATGCTGCCTTTTTTAGTTCTTACAGTGTTAATCCGTTTCTTTTACCCTGCCTGCCATTTCCAACTACATGATGAAATTGTTAAAGATAAAGCATGCTTTGGATAAATTGTTGTTCAGTCGTATCCAACTCTTCATGACCCCATGGACCTATGGTTTTTTCCTTAGCAAACATGTTGGAGTGGTGTGTCATTTCCTCCTTCAGCAGATTAAGTGACTAGCCCCAGGTCACACAGCTATTTAAGTGTCTGAGGCCAAATTTGATCTTAGGTCTTCCTTTCTCCAGGCCTAACATTCTATCCATTGAGCTACCTAGCTGCCTCCCATTAGGAGGTAAAATAGGAAAATTTAATTTGTTACAAGTGATATAAATTTGAAATCTTTTTTAAGAAGCAAGGTCAGTCCATTTTTAACTTTATATGTTGATTTTATTTACTTGTATTTGCATTAAAATATGGTTGATAGTGTTTAAGAATGTTAATATATGTTTCTTTAGCCATGGTGGTAACCAAGAGTGCATTTTTCTACCCTATTGAAATGATTTTATGGGGGAGGGTTTAGGTTTGGTTTTTTTTTGGTAGCAGCAACTTCAAGTAATTAAAATTTAAACAGCTATCTTTCATTATTTTATGCCATATACATTGTTTTGGAAAATTAATAGCAATCATCTTCTGTTGGAGGAAAAAGTAGACTTTTTAAATGTGCATTTTGAATTTGATACAGTTTTGACTGTGGGTTAAGGTGACCTTTATACTTGCTCTCTTCCAGATAAAGCTTCTCCAAGGAGGTTGCCCCGGAAACGGGCACAGAAGAGATCGGTGGGATCTGATGAGTAAATGTTCATTTGTGCAACAATTCAGTCTTTACTAAACCTGCCCTAACATTTTTTGGCCTGATGGGAATTAGTGCAGAGAAGCCATATCAACATATGAGGAAACTACTACTTCTGTTTGGACTGAGTAATCAGAGCTGTGGCGATAATATTGCTGAAAATGCACTGCATATGTTTTTTCTAAAGTAACAAATTTGGGTTTTTTTAAACCATTAAAAACCGTGTGTGTGCGTGTGTGTGTGTAAGCAGTTGGTCTTACCAGAATCATTGTTGTACTACCTGAAATGTGCCTTTAGAGTGCTAAATGTAATGCTGGCATATCTGTACCCCACTTGAAAATTTGTAGTTTTTTTTTTCCAGAAAACGTAATGAATATTGCCTAATCTTATTGTATAAGAAGTTTCTCGTTTTTACTATCATGCCTTGAACTGTACAGCAGAAAATAATTTAGCTACTCTGTTCCTCAGAATAGCTACTAATTCAGCAGTGATGGCACAAATTCTCTGGGTGTTTTTTTATATCTGCAACTAGTATTCTAAAGGCACAAACAGGAGTAGCTGCTTTTAGCAATATAGTATTTTGTTTTGGTATTTTGCTGCTGTTTACTACAATACGCACATTGGAGAACTTCCTTATATTGATCAAAGAACCCAGATGAATTTCTATCAGTCTGAGATCTAGCAGCAAATTGTGAAGCATGAGACTATGTGCTGAACTTGATACATAAATTCCAACTCTCCATACCCTTCCTCGTTTTTTAACAAAAAGAAAATAGCACACTTGTGTGAGCTAAATTATTGTGTTGTGTGTCATTGTTCTGTCTGATCCAAAAGGTGGCTTTGGAATTATTTTAGTTCTATTCAATATTTGTGAATTGGTGATTTTCCTTTCTTCCCCTTAATGGAAACTACCATGGCTAGAAATTTCCTTATTCTACAATTTTGAGTAGAAGAAATGAACCTCCAAGGCTCTATGTGAAGTGGGAACTCAAAAACTGTAGGGCACAAATCAAAAATGTGTTCCAAATTTTAATTTCTGCAGACTCATAAAAGAGTTGAAAAAGACCTACAGCATCTAGGCCATCCTTCTCATTTTACAGATGAGAAAACTGAGGCCAGACAAAGTAATTAATCTGTATGAATACCAATGAATAAGTTGAATTATATATATCTATATATTGCGTTATATATTCTATAGGTAGACATAGTTCAATGGTTCATTTTATTTTTCCCCTAAATTTTTGGTTAATTTTTCCCTAACCTTGTAAGTAGTTTTTGTGTGTGTTTTTGAAGTTTGCATGTGACTTTTTTTTTAGTAAGTCTGTTTTAGATAGTAGAAATTGAAATATTTAAGAATTGAACTTCCTAAAATTTTCTTTGAACTCTTCCTATATTATTTGGCCTTTTTTTCCCCTGTTTTGCTGTAGTCTTCTGTACATATCAGGCATCATAGGTGTTGTATGTTTAAGAGTCTTGGTTTGAAGATAATTGATATTTAGAAAGTTGTCGTTAAGGCCTGTAACAAAATTGACATTTTTGTTAGACTTGAGTAAAGGAAAAACTTTTAAAAGGCTTTTTTCCATGCCACAAAGCCATTTTCTCCTACATGTCTTTGAAAAAATGGAAGGCAAGGTAAACCTTGCCTTTACCTTTCTTTCTTTTCTCCCCTACCTCTTTTGAAATCTGCATTTAACCTGCCAAGAATGAACATCTGAGCCAATGACATTTGAATAATACCTGTAGCAGGTTAAAGCAGGGACTAATGTTCCTAAAAACCTGTTTTGATGGTGTACTATAAACATAGCATTCCTAAAATTCAGAGTGTTTGGGCTATTATCTTGGTGTGGAAGACCAATAGTTTATTTTAAAACTGTGGTACTTAATATAAAAAAAAATAGACATAGCTTGGTTTTTGACAAGCAATATCAGTGAGTACTTAGCAGGAACTAACTGTACAATAAATGGAATTAAATTCCACACATGGTATATTCAAGCACACTTAATAACAAGTAGCCTATTTTTAAAATAACTTTTAAAAATGTAAATATCTGGATGGGTTTTGTTTGGGGTGTATCTACTTAATTTGCAGACCGTGGTTTGAGACCCAAGTGTTGAATGTGGATTTTATGATTAATGATAGCTTTTGAAAATCTTGGTTTCACACATATATAAAATGGTATTAAGAAGTTGACCCTTTCCTATCCCCTAGGGATGTGAGGATTAATGTGTCAGTAAAGCACAGATTATCCTCAGAATATTTAAGTTTGTCATGTTATGTTCTTATACAGTTAAGTGATTTTCTAAGGTGTTTGCCTGCAATTTGTTGTCCTAGGGAGAAAAAGGAAGTAGGTTTTCAGAGTACTGAAGCCTGAAGAAGAATAAGGAGTGGGAATAAAAGCCACTGTAGCAGAAAGAGAAGAAAGACAGAGCTTTAGTGAGAGTTAAATTCAGAAGTTAGAAATGTCGAATTTCAAAATGATTGGCTTTGGTTTATAAAGGGGGAGCATATTTTAATATTAAGGGGGAAATGTTTGGGAATCACACCTAAAAATATTTCAGATATTAAATGGGAAAGTTTTTGTAATGATCTTATACAATGACTTTACTGGCACAGAGAGGATTTACGCTTACCCTTATTGCCAAGTTTAAATAGACCTCAAGTGTTCATAAATAGGTAATGTGTAACTCCCCTAGCACAGTGCCTTGCACATAGTAAATACTTAATATTTGTTTAATTGAATTATAATAGCCATAATCAACACCACATTTGATATTGCATCTTCTTACACATATGTTTAGAGAACTAAATTGATTTCTGTGTTTAAAATAGTTGGAAATAAGACATCCTTCTCTGAAATCTCCCTGGTAGATAAACTCTACAGGTAGTGTCAGTGTACATATAAATACATATAATTTTATAGATTAATACATTTCATATGTAGTATTTTTTATTCAGCTTATTCATTATTTTAGTTCTAAAACAAGATGTTTGCTAAAATTTAACAACTTCCCAGTTCTACTTGAGGTATTCCCCATATTTAGATAGATGAAGGATGAGCTCCCATAGCCAAATTAATTGCTTGGTACAGCTTCGACCTAGGAGTATTAAAACAACAACAAAAACCTTGCCATCAGTATGAATTAAAAGCATTAGGTTTTATTTGCTAGATTGAATCTCCTGTCAGCATTATGAAATCAAATTTTTTAAAACTTGAGGCTTGGGCTCAATTCGGTGAAGGGTAAGACGTTTTACATTTTAAAGCTGAATCCGACTCAACATGTTACTTGATGTCTAAAAATTATCATGCGTTATAATCCCTGTTAACTTTATTAGATAACATTTGTATAGTTTTTTAAAATTATTTTTTACTGCTTAGAATAATCTGTGGCCTGTTAGCCTACTTGTATTGGAAGTTATATTTTTTAGTATTGTTTAACAATTTAGTACTAATACTGCAATAATACTTGCACCACCTACCTCATAGGGGTGTCGGAAGGAAAGCACTTTGTAATCTTAAGGCAGTATATAAATGTGAGTTAGTATTACTATCACCTTTCTGGGCTTCATTTTATTGTCTGTCCTTTATAGTACAGTGTTTGGAGCCACTCCCTTTAAGATACTCTGGTAATAATAGATAAGCATTCTAGAATTGCTGAGCTTAAGTGGAAGCTGCTTAGGAATATTTTGACATTAACTCAGAATCAAACCTTTGAGCAGCTTACTGGTACAAAACTACTTCCCAGGAATCTGAACAGCCAGAACAACATTTCAACCAGATTTTTTGGTGTTCAGTACATACTGAAGACTTAGTGCTACCCTTGAGATGCTACTACGAGATCATAAAGAGTGTTCAAAGTGAAGACCATCACAAAAAGATGATGTTCAGCATGGTTTTAGTGCTAAGTTTGTATTCTGAGTCTTTGAAAATTGGCTTTTCATGTACGACAGACATAGTAACTAAGTCAAGATATTTGACTCCCCTACCATTATGGAAAAACAGTACTTGATCAGATGTTTAAAGCCTGTTCCCAGAGATACTCCTTTATGCCACCACCTCCCCTAAAATGGTTTTCAAATATCATTTGTCTGAAAAATACAGAATCCTTAAATGTAAGCTCTACCTAACCTTAGAACAGTGAGGTCAAACTTAATACAAACAGGGGCAACCAAACCATACATAAAAATCCCTATAGGCTACATACTAACTTAGAAAACCACACTTGTGTATTTCTCTTTTTTTATTATTAATACACCACCACATTACAACCAGATAAGAACTACATTTTTAATCAGATTCAAGCTGCACTTGAAATTGTATGGACCGTGTGTTTGCCACCTCTGCCTTAGAGGACATATAGGCCATATTACAAATGAGTAAACTGAGAGGTGACCTTTCCAATGTCAACCTAGGTTCTTAACCCATGCTATATCATAGACTACAGTTCTGAAGTTTTTATTTCTTTTTTTTTTAATATTATACAACTTGCATACATTCTCAGATACTCAACATAATTTATTGAGTGTTTGTAAACCATAAACCAGATACGGCAAAGTATACAAAGGAAAAATATCTGAATGGGGTGAATACATTTTAAAGGGGCATCTATTTATTGTAGTATTTTCCATTTCATTTGGCAATTTTTGTTAGTTACATTTAATTCTAATCAAGGATGGCCAAGCAAGCAGAGGTATGGGCAGATATATGTATTAAATAGAAACTTGATACTGAAATTTCCATAAAGGTAAAGGAAGGTCTGTGGAAGATTATTTAGTCTAGAATTATTAAGATCCAGTCCACTCATCACATACTATCACTCTTTAAGATGTTCCTTTCAGACCAAATTGAGCCAGGCATAATCTTTCAGCACCCTTTACCAGGCAGCTTCTTTTTTAGCTGGAGAAAAATGTTGTAATGATCGCTTGCAAAACTAGTACCATTTAGGATTGAATCCTTTGAACTATTAGTGTAAAAGTAATTTTTCACTTTTGAATGAGTGGTA